ACTTAATGTGCGCCTCCGTGTTGAGTTTAAGGCCAAGTAGGAAGATGAATGGAGGTATAACGTTACCATCACTAGTGATCACTTCAAACACCATGATGCTTATTGGATATATCATCCAACTCTTCGAATCCTCTGTACTGTCCTCAGATTGATACCCAAACACTCTAAAATGTTCGTATTGAAGCTTCAGGCGCGAATGCCAAGCAAGTACACCATACCGTTTTTCTGGCGGAGTGAATTGCAACCATCACAGAAGCTCGCAACTGACCCTACTACACAACGCGCATGTGCGAAATTAAAGATATAAAATGTGTCAGTTTACCCATCGCACCCTGTATATGTGGAGAGACAGTAAACGCAACTAGATGACTCTAAAGGATTATATTCTATAGAATATATAAACTTCAGCGTATTTAGAGCTATTAAGATGCGGTGAGAAATAAAATCTGTATTTATTATATTCAGCAGCTACAACGTGTCAATAAATATTTGATCTAAAAATGTTCTGTATTAGTCGATAGAAAAAAAGGTGATCCCTCGTCAGGTTAAGGAAAGACCGCATACAACAATAATAACAGAAAAAAAAATTAGAACCCCGTAGGTCTGTTTTACCAGACCCACAATATTTACCTGTTCTGGCAGTAAACGATAATTACGTTTTTGTCCGCTACAAAACCCTCAGATGAGGAAAAATCTCTCTAATGAAGACCAGATTCAAGAGATCGCCGAAAAAATCTTTCATATCAAAACTTAAATAAATCTGTAGTATAGTACTTTCTTAAAGAGAATTTTAAAAGTAAATTGAATGAGTAATATATTAACATGTTGCGTTTAGTTTGTGTATGTAAATAAACTCTCCTCGTCGATTTCAAACAATGGGGGCCTACCAGTTCAGTTTACGACTGCTAGACTACCTACAAAGATAATTTGATTATAGTGATGAGGGATGGTGGAGAATCAGGTGAGAAATATTTAGAACTGATAACTGAGAAATGATGTTTAGTGTGCTCTGAAATCTCTAAACAGACTTTGAATTCAGAGTTTTCCTTCCACTACGCTGGCTGTCACCCAAGGCAAGAGAGCGCAATCTGTCGGGTTACTTAGCTCACAGCTGGAGCAAAGATGAATCCATGCTATTTCAGAGGCTAAAGTGTGAAGCGAAGGGAAGGGTAGCGATCAGAACTTCAATTCACCAGAAACTATTTTCACGCAGATAACCGGATTATATATATATATATATATATATATATATATATATATATATATATATATATATATATATATTTGTGTGAAACGAAGGAAAGACCAAGAGCATTTCTTCCAGGAACCGTACAAATATGCGAGGAATATATTTGATCAACCAAGATCAGGTGTATTTAAAATAGAGGAAAATGTTCTAGCGGAACATTTAAGAGGTATGTACTCTGATCCTAAACGACATATTCCTCTAGATCATAATAGCATCTTATTTTGGCCAGCCGTTCCTAAAGTGAATTTTGATATGAAACCACCCACACGCGAAGAAATAAAACGCATAGTCGACAAAAGTAGAAATAAATCTGCACCTGGCCCTAACGGAATACCTTTCCTTCTGTACAAAAAAATGTCCTACTCTTCTTAAATGGTTGCATACTAACTTAAAATTAGCATGGAAAAATTACCATATCAGCCAACAGTGGATGATAGCGGAAGGGGTGTACATACCCAAAGAAAAGAATTCCAGGGACATCAGTCAATTTCGGTCAATTTCCCTTCTCAATGTAGAAGGAAAGATATTTTTCGCAGTTTTGGCATCGAGGTTGACCAAATACCTTCTCGATAATGAGTATATCGATACGTCAGTACAGAAAGGTGGTGTTCCAGGAATAGCTGGTTGCTTAGAGCATGAAATCATGATCTGGGAGGCCATTCAAAAAGCAAAAATTAAAAGAAAAGATTTGGATGTCATTTGGTTGGATTTAGCTAATGCCTACGGATCAGTACCTCACCAAATGATACAATTATCATTACAAATGTACCATATTCCTGAGGAAATAGCTATTATGCTAGGAACTTATTTTGATGGTTTCCTCATGCGTTTCACTACAAAAGACTTTACGACTAAGTGGAACAGACTTGAAGTTGGAATTGCGATGGGATGTACAGTGTCACCAATACTTTTCGTTCTAGCAATGGAACTGATTCTCAAAGCGACAAACAACAAGGCTGATGTTGTTGAGCTTGGTAGAGGTTGTCAAATGCAACCAGTGAAAGCGTTCATGGATGACACTACAATCCTCTCATCCAAAGTAATTTTAACTCGCAAGATATTAAGCTTGATAGACGACCTGATAAGTTGGTGTAGGATGAAATTTAAACCAAACAAGTCCAGAAGTCTTTCTCTTAGAAAAGGTAAGTTGAATAAAAACACAAATTTTGTAGTAGGTGGCCAAAGAATCCCTACTGTATCAGAAAAACCAGTGAAAAGTTTAGGTCGTTGGTACGATCAATCCTTAAAAGATACCAATCAAGTAAAAGAAACATCCAGGTCATTACAAGATCTCCATAAGATAGATGTTTGTCCTCTAAAAGGAAAATACAAGGCATGGTGCTTAGAGCATGTGCTCATTCCAAAGCTACTATGGCCCATACTCGTATACGAATTTGGAATGAGTACAATTGAGTTAATGGAAAGGAAAATAAACAAATATATCCGAAAATGGTTGGGTTTGCCTCCAGGTTTGTCTGATATCGCATTGTACTGCAGACAAGCAAAGCTAAAGTTGCCATTTAAATCGATTGTGGAAGAGTATAAATCCGGAAAAATTAGACTTCAAATGATGTTGGATGATTCCAAGGATAAAGCAATAAAAGCTTTAAAGCCTACGTTAAAAACAGGGAGAAAGTGGAAGGTCAGAGAGACAATAACAAGTGCTAAATACAATCTAGCTTTCAATGAAGTCATCGGATACACTCAAGCAGGGAAACAAGGGTTAGGACTAAATGAAAGGCAATGGTGGTCGAAATCTTCTGGTAAAGATCGCCGTGACATGGTCATCCAAAATGTGATGAAAGAAGAAGATAAAAAAAGACTCGTAAAAGGAGTACAACAATCCCAACAAGGCCAATGGACAAACTGGGAGGAGGCTCTTCAGAAATCTATTACGTGGAAGGACATTTGGCAGATGGCTCGACTTAGGTTGAGTTATTTAATACGTACCACGTATGACCTGCTACCATCTAAGAACAATCTTGTTAAATGGAAGAAAGAGAGTGATCCTATTTGTCCCCTGTGTGAGGAAAAGCCACAAACATTAGAACATGTTCTTAGTTCCTGTAAAACAGCCCTTGTCAATGGCAGATATACATGGAGGCACAATAGTGTTTTGGATGAGCTGGTCAGAATCATAAAGAAATATATGAAGTCTGAGTCATCTAATTCAGCCCAGGAATTTGTTGCAGAAGGAAAAAGATATGTCGGCTCTAAGCAAACAAGCAAATGTCATGCTATACCCGGAAAAAATCTCCTTAGTTCTGGTGGCATCTGGGAGGTATCTGCAGACCTTCCTGGTTGGCGTAATGATTACCCCCAAATAATATCAAGTAAAGGTCTGCGACCAGATATTGTTCTTCTGTCAAGAGTGAACCATAAAATCATCCTGGTTGAGTTAACAGTACCATATGAATGCCGGATGGAACAAAGCCACGATTATAAAACTAATAAATATGAAGATCTAAAGTCAGAGCTAATAAAGGAGGGGTATAATGCAATTGTTAGAGCAGTGGAAATTGGAGCAAGGGGTTTCGTTTCAGGCACTCTGTACAAATCTCTGGGCCAAATTGGAATCAAAAAGGGCGTAATAGGCCATGAGTATAAAACGCCTAATAGAAGTAACAGAAAATAGTTCTATGTGGATATGGAAAAAACGAAATACTCCGTGGAGTGTTTCAGCGAACATGACGGCATGACATGACTGATCGTGAATGCGTAATGAGGTTCACGTAAATTTAATTTCGCCGTTACACATTTGAACTAGTTTATCTACAACACTTGTATATCGTTATAATGGGGCCTCACATCAGTGAGGGGGGCCAGTGTGCAACTGAAACCGTTGAGAGAAGGCCCCGAGAAACGGTGCACATTCTCTCCTGATGACCCCAGTTTAAAATTCGAGAGGAACACATCAAAATTCAGTGAAATCATATGCCGTAGAGAAGCTCGGTGGAAGTGTCATTGGCATGAGGAGCATTATAGATTCAGCTCGCTTCAGGTGAGTTTCAATTACTTTCCAGTAATTTCCTTCTATATAATGAAATTTTAATCCATTTCATTATATATATATATATATATATATATATATAATGAAATGGATTAAGTCCGACAACTATTGAATATTTTTTGAATATTTTATATATATATATATATATATGAATATATATATATATATATATATATATATATATATATTTTATATTATATATATATATATATATATATATATATATATATATATATATATATATATATATATATATATTCATATTCTGTTTATATGCTATTTTTTTAAATAGAAAATATATTATAATTGTGCAAATCGATTGACACAACTGTTTTTTGGACAGACTGGATTGATAGGGTGGAATCGATGTCTACTTTTATCTCAGATTGGGCCATTTTCAGTTGTGTGCAGAAATATGAATCTATTTTCGGAGTCTATGAAAAAATTTGTTTGGCCTTGAAAAATATTGCGTCATCTATGATTGCATCAGATTTTCATCACGCCCTGACACTATTGTCTCTACTGTCAATTAGTTGTACAACGGTCATTGTCTGTGAAGGACGTTATTCCAAGGAAGCTTATGAAAATTGTAGCTCTGCACGAACACAATGGCAAGCTTTACCAGTGGCCAAATCGACCAAGTACAATCGACTGGCTCGGAAACTTAAAATTAAATTAAATCTAGTCAAGAATCTGTGGTCAAGCTGCAAGCCCATTACATCATTCGCACACCTAAACTTACAGTCCTCGTATTTCCTAGAAGTCACCCATCTAAGTACTGATCAGACTCGGCGTTGCTTAACTGCGGTGATCGTACGGAAAACGATGTTTCCGCGAGATATGGACGTAAGCCCATTACACCTTTCGCACACCTAAGCTTACAGTACCTGGTATTTCCAAGAAGTCACCCAACTAAGTACTAACCAGACTCAACGTTGCTTAACTTGGGTGATGGTACGGAAAGTGGTGTATCGATCTGATGTAGTCGTAAGCCGCCGTGTGTCTGTCTGTCTGTGTGCGTGTGTGTGTGTGTAGGTGGAGAGGTCTTTAAATCTGGTCAGTTTGGGCAATAGGTGTTCTTTTAAATATGTATTTGTTTTTAAAGAATAGACATGCCTTTTATATACGAATATACATTCACTAATGTGATTAATTTGTGTGGCTATATCTTGACGGGTTGATCCGTCCACGCCAACCACATTTATGAAAGGATATCCGTGCATTAGAAAAGAAGCTAGTTAAATATAATATACAGAAAGTGTCTGTTGTTTTTAGCGATATATATAGCATACATATTAGGCGATCATGACACAATTAGAAGTCCTACCAGGATTTATTATTTGCAGCCACAATCTTAACGTAACATATGCACCTTTCTATATTTCTGAGATGAGGTATTATGTACATTATTTACATTATTCGAACGATTCTCCTCATCTTTGTCGCCATATTTATCACAACGTTTCGGCCCTTCATTATCTGTCTATATTTCTGGGATAAGGTATTATGTACACTATTTACATTATTCAGACTACTGTCCTCATCTTTGTCGCCATATTTATTACAACGTTCCGGCGTTTCAGTATCACTCTATAATTCTGCGATGAGGTATTATGTACACTATTTACATTATTCGGACTATTTTCCTCATCTCTGTCGCCATATTTATTACAACAATTTCGGCCGTTGTACGCTCCAGCCTTCTTCAGACAGTTGGAATGTCGAACTGAACCCTTTATTTCGCTCAATGGGGGAGACTGTTCTAGTTCCACGTGCCATGTCTAATGGATGTCAGTTATCATTTATTCCCCTCTCCAAGTTCTCCACTGCCTCAAAGACATCTGGCACAGTGGATAAAGGCGTTAGTTAGATCCAGTGACAGGATCCAAAGAGTGTGAGTTCAATACCTTGTTAAGGCGGTGGAGAACTTGGAGAGGGGAATTAACAGGAGATAACTGATAACTGACATCCATGACATGTGGATAATAAATATGGCGACAAAGATGAGGACAATAGATCGAATATTTTAAATAGTGTAACATATGCAGATAACACATAAAAGAACAGGAACTTCTATAAGGCTTGGTAAATGCAAGCTAGATGAAAGTACAAATCATCAAGTGCATGGTTGTCAGCAGAAAAGAGAGATCAGGATGCGAATTACGAAATGGTTATGTCGTAACAATGCAAACCCAGAAATGAAAATATGTAGGAAGTGTTTAACTTCAGAGAGAAATAATATGACACCGAAATCCGAAGGCACATTGGAATAGGCGACTTCCAGAAGTAATAGATGCTTCCGGATGTAATATATGTTTTCCAAAAGCTAAGCAAAGAAATAATTTTCAATAGAAAAAAAATAAAATAAAGAGTACTGGATTGTTATGTAATATGACAGTGAATGTAATATCACAGATGAAAAAGAGACCGAAGCAACAGAAATATGGCTCTACAGAAGAACACTGAGAATACCATGGACTGAACATATGAGCAACGAGGAAGTTTTAGAGAAAATTAAAACAAGAACAAACCAACATTGAATCAGGAAAGGCTAGTTAAAATATCGAGGGCACAAAATGAGGAAAGAAGGCTTTGAAAATTTTACACTCACAGGATATATTGGAGGCAAGAAGGATAGAAGAACCTACCTAATGAATTTGTGTAAATGGTCGGAGAAACAGGGATTTGGAACCATAGCAAAAACACAAAACTTACTAAGGGTTACAAAGAACAGGAAGTTGTGAAGAGTGGTTGCCCACGTCTTGAATGGATACAGCTTACAGAAGGAGAGGAAGCAACATCCAAACAAGAGCAGCAATAAGTAAAATAGCGTATATTTCCCGAAAAATCATACAATCAAGATGTTGATATTCCACTATACCTTAAACAAAAGCTTAGGAAGGAAACTCCTAGCAATAACGTAATTAGTAACGTTGAAAATTCTATTTTCTCGAAAAACTGAGAAAGATTTTAGAAATTCCAACCGACAGTAACACTAATTGTTCCGTCAATAAATGCCGAATGTTTCCTTATAAGGAAACGACTATTCTCTCTGTTACCAGTAATTATCACGCTCTCAATACGTTACTCGTGTCCAAGGTTGACTCTTTTATTGGCAATCATGCAGTATCAAAAAGAACAACCGCATCACTTGAAGATTTCCAACAACCGCAACAACTAAAATGAATAATTCATGTAACTAGAATGGGAAACAATATATATAATGTTAGTGTTGAATCTCCAATTTACCTAAAACAAAAGGTTAGGATGGAAACCCTTATCATTACTGGACCGAGGGATAAGAGTGAACATGAGAATCCTATTTTCTTGGGAAACTGTTTTGAGTAAAGATTTTATCAGTTTCAATTCGGTAGCGATGAGCGAATATTTATTCCATGGAAATGGTTCTTCTTACCATTACTTATACATGCTTCTAAGAAAACCATTTAGGTGCTCTTCAACGTGGTGCCATGGTTTAGAAGCTTGTCTCGCTATATCAATTACTATTAAGTAGTGATTTCGATCCTGACTGGTTACTCCAAATATTCGGCTACGCTTAGAAAGTCATTTGGGGACTTTAACGTGATGTAATAGTAATGCCATCATGTCTCGCAAGATCAGTTACGTCTGAGTAGAGATTTCAATCCTATTATTCAGGCCTTGTGCCACATCTAAGCTACGTTTATAAAAACACCATATCATTTTGGGCACCTTGTCGTGATGTAATGGTTAACAAGCATGTCTCGCTAGAACAATTACGACTGAGTAGATCGTTCGATTCTCATCGAGTGCCCCATACTTTTAGCCTAGTGCCACATCTAAGCTAAGCCTAGAAAATCATTTGAGAACTTCGACGTGTAATAGTTAAGCAAACAGTGGCCTGTTCAGTTTATTTCTCAGCAGCTGTGTCAGATTTCGAACCTACACCTTCTGAAAATTAATTGAAAAAAAAAACCCATTAGTTTCTTCCGCCATTTTTTGACTCACTGGAATGACAGTGTGTAATCGATTTCTATTTTTTTCTCGGATTAGGTCATTTGCAGTAGTGTGCAGTAAAATGAATCTATTTTCAGGGTGTATGATGAAATTTGCTTGGCCTTGAAAAATATTGCATCATCCGTGTTTGCATCAGATTTTCATCACGCCCCGACACTATTGTCTAGACTGTCGATTAGTTATCGTACGGTCATTGTCTGTGTTGGACGTTACTCCAAGGAAGCGTACGAAAATGGTAACGCTGTACGGACATATTGGCAAGCCTTACCAGTAAGCAAATCAAAGTACTATAGACGGGCCCGGAAACTCCTCTGATTTAAATTTAATCGAGAGTCTGTAAGGAAAGACTTCGTGGAATAGACATACGAAGTCATGACATTGCCACTGGATCATGTTTCATTGGAAAAATACGAAAGAAAGGTAAATAATAAAGGAATTTTTCATTTTGTTTCAATTAATTTGCATAATGGTGTAGATAAAAAATCACAATGCGGACTTTCAAAATGGTTAGGAATAACTGTTTTTTTTTTTCTTTTTCCACCCTAACCAAGGTGATAATGCCACTGAGACACGGGGAGCGCTTAGAGGAGTGAAAAGGAATGAAAAGATTTTAGTGAGAAGAAAGACAATAAAGGAATAGGATCCAGGAAGATGTTGCATTTAAATTTTTGAAGATTTTAGGTGTCAGGGAAGTAGTAAATCAGATGAGACTTCAGTAGACGTGAAGGACAAGAAAAGAAACTATTAGAATAGAAATTGAAGTTGCATCTCGTTAATTGAACAGTAAAACAATGGGACTTAAATGCCAGTCTAGTATTTTGCTTAAATCCACGAGGTCGAGGTATCAAGGAGGAGTGATGATTAGAACAACTGCCATGAAGATATTTATAGAAAAGACATAGGAAAACCACGTCACAACGGTGGGAGGTTGACCGAAGACGAGATGCCAGGTCACCACCAATAATATTACAGATTCTTTTTTTTGGATTTTATTCATAATCTCGAAATATAGAACAGGAGCACCAGACCACATATTATTTTATTAAAACTTTTTAGATGACAAAGAAGCAAGACACCGGAAGGGAGTTCCACAGGCGAGAAGTGCGAAAAAATATTATTACGCAATTATTAACCGCTTCGCTCCGATTAAGGTGATGAAACCACTAAGACGCAGGATGTTACGGAGAGCGGAAAAGAATTAGAAGATTAGTTAGGAAATGTCATTAAAGGAACAGGGTTCAGGAAGACAGAAGATGATGATTAGCATTGCGTTTAAATTTTTGAACATTGACGGTAGCAGGGAAGAAAGAAATCGGAAAAGAATCTCTTATGATCCAGTTTGGTTTCGTGGTGTACTAACCGAAGTTAAGTATCGAGGAATTTGGCAATTTAAATATTTTTTAATTTTTTTTTATTATTATTTAATTAATCGTTTATTCGTTAAATATTATAGGCAGTGTGGCCGAGTGGTTAGAATGTTCTGACCATGAGACCACGGGTTCGAATATCATCGCGGTCGAATTTATAAGGAAGTTGACTTATTAATGTTATCTTCCCCGGGAGATGATCCCAGCGTGCTACACCTTTGGAAATTGCCTGAAACCATCGCACTTGCCGCCAATCATCATTTCAGCATTGTAGCGTTGTTCACGCTCTTTCCTAGAAACTGTAACTAAGGTCTGCTCTGCATAGGTCCAGTATAAAATTCTGTGGGTGTTGCGCAAAATCAAATTAACCTGAGAAGGCAACTGCAATAGGAATTGGTTAGCTATTGAAGTGAAATTACTCGAATGCGAGCGGCCACCTGCCAACATGTTTTTAAAATTTACCCTACGTATGTTGTTTTTACAATCCTCAGGAACAGGAATGCTTGTGCGGTTTTAAGTAACTTCTTATCCATCAGATTTTCTCTCGACTTCTCTAATGCATGGCATTTGTTGAGAAAACAATGAATAATTCATTGTGTAATTCACATAGATCAACTCTCAAGAGTC